GGGCGGGGGGGGGGGGGGGGGGCTGGATTAGCTGACCTCATGAGATTCCCTTCCAGCCCCACTCTCTAATATGATTCTAATGTGCCAGCAATGCAGAAGCATAAGATTACTAGGTGTAATCAAAGTAAAAATCAAAGTATTTTTCTGTCCCTCATTTCAGGCTATTGCCACACATTAGCCATTACACCAGGATGTGATCTACACATTAAGTGTAGCAGCAGGTACAAAACAACAGGGTCCCCTAGTGTAGACACAACTCTGCTTGCAGGAGGAGTTTTTCTGGCCACCAGGATTAAGTCCCTCTGCACCCAGCCTTCTGCTTCTATGCCAGGGCTATGTCAGTAGGGTTACATTGGCTATAGCATAAGATCTTCTCCTACCCTGGAGGCATCAGTGCTCTGCCAGTGGACCCCTGTAACATGGACAAAGGCTACAAGAATAAACTGAGTTCAAGAAGCTTCTAACCAACACATTTGAACAAACATAGTTTTAGATCTTTTAACCTTTTAAAGAAACGTAACAGCACAAAGCTGTCCAACTGATGGCCCATGAGAGGTTAACATGCTTCCCATGCTGGCGGGACTCTCTGGGGCAGGGCAGCATGGCAAGGAGTATGCTACCTGCTGGACGCTGGCAAGGGGGAATTCCCTGCTGTGGGGGAGAGGTTCTTGCCCATGTGGTGGCAGCAGCAGGGCAGCTGGCACAGCAGTAGCTGGAGACTTGCTCATGTGGCAGAGGTCCCAAGGTGCCCACATGGCCCCCAGGTCATGCTGCCTGTATGGTGTGCAGCCCAGGGCCTGCGAACTGTGTGGTGTGCAGCCCCTGGCTGCTGTGTATCTGGCCAGCCCAAACTGAACACATTTAAAACCACATTCACCACTTGCGTTCAGCAATAGCGCCACATTACTGTGTTAAGTGCTGTCTACACTAGCATGTTAAAAGCTAAGTGATTGTTAATTTGCTTCTAACACAACCCACCCTACACAGAGCTGCAGTGCCCACACCTGCCCTTTGACAGGCTGAGGTTAGGCACATAGCCCTGAACTCCTTGTTCCATCCCTGAATGGTTTCACTTGGCTCCACCCTCAGAACAAAAGCATTCCCTGTGCTGCAGCCATGGCACTCAGTATTTCAGAAGTCACCAGGTACCAAATCTTTACTTCCAGGCAGACAGGTTGTGCCCTGGAGGGGAGTTATCTCTTCTCCATTTCCTGGGACCAGGCTCAGGCAGGATGCTCTCAGAGCAGAGCTCCAGCAGGACAGGACTGCTGAGGGAGGAGCAGGAAACCAAACCTCCCTTCTGCCTCATCATAACCCACTGGAAGCAGCTTAGGACACAGACGTGGGAATCAATGGGACCATTCTTAAAACAACTTTTATTCACAAGCAGAAGCAGCACTCTCTGTCTCATGCAGGCACATAAAACACTGCCACAGACACAAAGAAGCTTCTGAGCTTCTGGGGCACCAGGGGCTTCTTGGGCCCCACCTGCAGCTGGACATGGTGGACCTGGATACTGGGAGCCAGCACCCTCACACTCGTGCTCAGCTGGAGCTGGACAGGGTCCCAGATTCATGAGGCTGCCACCCCGCCTGTCCCCGACCCATGTGGGGGCAGCGTCATGGGTGGCAGGAACATGGCTTTCAGCTTCCCAGACATGCTGGCGATCTCTGGGTCCTGGGATTCATAGGATTTTATCAGTCGGGCAAACTTCAGGACCCCTGAGAGAGAGAAAGAGAGAGGGGGGAGGGGGGACACAGCTGAGGGGCTGGCCCTCTGCCAGGCAGCCATTCCCCAGGCCTAGCAGCAGCAGGGCACCCCTGGCCACGGGGGATAGCAGGCAGGGGCCGACCCCACCTTCCCCGTCGCTGCTGAAGCCGTAGGCTTTGATGACGTCCTGCTGGATCTGCGTGGCCACGGGCAGCAGGAACTGCAGCATCTTGCCCATGTCGTTGCAGGCGTTGTCCCGCGCCTCATCCAGGCGCTGCGCGTTCTCTGGGGCGCCGAACGCCTTGAGCACCTCGGCCAGCACCACTGCGGGCAGGGCACGGGCGTGGGGGGCGGCTCGGCACCCACCAGCCCCGCCGCCACTGCCCGTCTGCGAGCGAGGGGATGGGGGATGCTCACCTTTGGCTTGCTCTGCGGTCAGCGGCGCCGCCGGGGCCGGGGCCGAGGCCGCCATGGGGCGCTGCAGGCTTGACATGCAGGCAGAGTGCGCGCTTCGAGCACAGGTGCCTACTGCCACCTGCAGGCGCGGAGGAGCAGCTGCTGAGGCGGAGCACACCGCTCGCAGCAGTAAGGTCGCCCGCGCAGCGCCCCCCACTTGCGTCCCCAGACCCCGCCGCCCACTGCCTTTACACGCGCTGGGGCCCCTCGCGGCGCGAGGGACTGCTGGACAAATACTAAAAGAGCTGAAATCACTACCCAGTCCTTCTCACCCCCCGGACCCCCAGCCCGGCCCGAGTGTCACGCTTGTTAGGGTGACTCCGGCTGTAAGCCGCAAATCCGCTCCGCAGGTTCGCGGGAGGCTCCTGAAACGCAGCCGCCTACCCCGGGAAATGTTCGCAGCGCCGCGGCGGCTCCCCACGCCCCCCCGCGCCGCTGGCGCTGCGGCCCCCGGCTTCCAGCCCGCGCTCAGGCGAGCTCGCCGGCATGCAAATGAACCGCCTTCCCATTGGCGCCGGGGCCCGAAACCCCGCCCCCGGCCTGTCCGCGCCCAGCAGGTTTCGGCAGCACTGGCTGGAGGCCCCGCCCCCCCCTCCATGTCAAGGTGCTGTGCTGGGCGCTCCTGGTCTCTCTGTTCTGGCCTTGCAGCTGGGGCCTCACGCGCCCCCATCAATAGCACGGGCCTAGTGCTGGGGAGGGCGCTGGGCAGGCTGTGCCCCAGGGGGCTCTGCGCCTCACCCCCCAGCTCACCCCACCTTCTGCCAGGCAGGGCGGAGGGGGCACTGCCCGTCATGCCTCTGCCTGCCTCTCTGTGTGGCTCCCCCGCTGCCAGGGCCCCCAGGCACTTAAATGAAAACCACAGAGTCCGTTTCTGGAAGGGTTTCGTTTTGTTTGTTTGTAAGAGCTTCATATTTATATTTTATATATAAATTATTAGAATGTGTGTTGGGGGTTCAGAGCGCATGGAGGACTTCATTGGGGTGTTGCCCCAGAGCTCCCTTTCTTGTTTTTCCTTTTCTCTTTTTAATGTTTTAAGTAAATATATATATATATTTATATATATATATATATATGCGTGTGTGTGTGTATATATATAATGTATGGGTGTGTATGTGTGTACATATGTATACACATACATATACACACACACACACACACACTCACACAAACAGACTGAGATATACAACTGTGAGATCAGACACGCACGTGGGGACTGGGAAGTCACACATTGCTACGCAAAACTGCCACGTCTAATGGGATGTGCATGGATTAAAAGTACATCAACTGGAATAAGTGAGGGGAAAGAGGCAGCCACCATCTCAAAAACAGTCCCATGGTGCTTTGCACCTGCTGGCCATACCTGTTCCCTCGAGGTGGGGGAAAGCACAGCCACCATCTTGAAAACAGTCCCATGGTGCTTTGCACCTCATAGCCAGGCCAGTCCCTCAGGGGTTGGGCGGGGAAGTAGAAGTGGCCATTTGAAGAGTTCCAATAGTGCTTTGCATCTCTTTGCCATGTTCATTCCCAAAGTGGGTTCGGAGAGTAGGAAGCCACATTGGCCAGTTTCCAAAAGTCCCATGATACTTTGCATCTCTAGGCCATATCTCACATCCAAAATAGTAGGGTGGGAGGCATTTTGAAAAAAGTTCACATCAGGTTCTGAGGGTCTGCCTCTTGGCCATATCTGCTCATGCAGGGAAGCAGAAAGGGCTACCACCACGTATAGAAAGGTCCCATGATACTTCATACTTTTGTTTTTTTTATTAGGTACAACCACTCTCTCAAAAGAGATTCTGGAACAGCAGCCATTTTGAATCCCCACAATTCCTTGTACTTCAAGCTCTTTGTCACATTAACTTTGTCTTTCTCAGTGCCCCTCTTGAAGTCATGCCATGGTTCCAAACATTTTTTAGGCATCTCACTCCCTCCCCACTTCTCTCCCCTCCTCTCTGCTCCCAGGATGGTCATCTTGTTCTTTCCATCCTTCCTTCTCTTTCACTGTGCTGAACAGGCCCAGGATTCATCACTCTGCAGCTTCCCCTCTCCCAAGATTTGGTTGATTGATTGTTTCTCTCTGGAGAGGGAGATGTGATGATGTCATTGCAAGGGTTGGGTTTCATTTAAAGGGGTTTGTCACTTTCTTTCTTCAGGTGACTGGCAGAGGTGAAAGAAAAGGAGCACAGAGGACAAGAGGCAGAGAGAGAGAGAGAAGAAAAAAGAACACAAGTTTAATAAAGCAAATTGTATTGAGTCTTTTACTAAAAATGAATCTGCCCCCCAGTGAAGATACTGGCTCAAAACTGAATTCTTTAAAATTCTTAGGAAAGTAAAATCTTGTCTCTCTGCAAATCACAGATGCTTCTTCCCTATCAGTGTACCCTTCCCAGTGCTGCTGCCTAGGGAAGGGTCCTTGCAGAGAAGAGTTCAATCTCTGTGACCCTTTCAGTCCTTAACCCACAAGGGAATCAGTGAGAGTTAGTCCCAATACTAGGTTTTGTCACATATACTTTTGTCTTCTTAGGAACAGAGCCAAGACCCAACATACTCATTTTGCCCGAAGGCCAATCAACACTTGTCATATGTGAATGGCATCCAGTTATTATCATGGGCCTACAATGGAACTTGTGACCTATAAGTGAACATATTTGACCTAGACCTTGTGACCTAGAAGTGAACTCTGTGTGCCCTCAGAGTTCAGTTCAGACTACAGCCACTGCCCCTAAGCAAATAACTGCCCCTCCCATTCCTTGACTGCACCAGCTCTCCCATTCTTTAGCTAGATTCAAACTGGTGCCCAAGAGGTGAAAGTTAAGCATCCCATTTACCTAACCCTGAAAGGCTGTGGCTTCTTTTTACCTGTAATAATCCTCCTGTGTAGGAAGCGGCACTCCATGCAAAGGGTGATGGGCATGGAGCCACTGCTGCTGCTCCAAAGCCAAACGCTGCAGCTCTGCCGACTGTGCGTGCATGGCCTGGAGTTGATGAGCTGCTGACATGGGAGCAGAGAGAGATCCTGGCAGGTCCCTGTAGGGGGCAGCTGCATTCAGGGAGAAAGAGCAGATCAAGTCAGCCTACCAGACCCTTCCTTATCCATTCTCCCCTGATTCTGTCATCATGACCCAGCACAACCCACACCCAATCCACCCATGTCTATTCCACACAAAGCTCTGTCAATGCCCCTCAATTCTGACATGCTCGCCTCCTGATTTTCTAGTCCCTGCCCTGCAACACTGCACAACTCTGTTCATGCACCTCCATTTGAACCTGCAGCCTTCCCTGTTATCTAATTTCTACCCTTTTGCGGTGTCAGTGCCCTCACATGTGGCTCACAGGTGCCACTGGTGTTCTTACCAAAAAGCTGATGGCGCAGCACTTCATTCTCATGGAGGGGGTGAGGAAGAAGTGGGTTGGGGATGGTACCAGCTGGGTACGGTATCCGAGTGAGATGTGACCCTGATGCCAGTGGGTCAATAAGGGGGTGAACAGAAGCTGAGGCTGGTGACAAAAAATACCAACTGGTTACTGGATTGTGCTACCTCAGAAGCAAAGTAGGGAAAAGCAGAAAGAAACAAAAGGGAACAGTATAAGATAGCCAGCCATACAGACTGACAGAACACAGCTCTGTATTAGGGACAGATCCATTTCAAGATTACATGATGCAGTTATTCAATTTTAGTATCATTCATTTCTGAACTTGTTCTTTGTGTTCTCACTATACAGCCAGGTTTGTGTAAACTGGTTCTGCCTGTCCATGTATACATGCCCCTTAGCTGCAACTACACATCTCAACACTCTGTTACTTCCTATGTTCCAAAGTCCCAGGCACATCTCCCGAAAGCTGGATTGTGGATGCATGTATTGTAGTTTATTGCATGCAGAAGTAGGTCCTAGGAACAAAAATTCGTAGCTTTGCTGGACACTAAAAAACAAAGAATTAACACAGACGATGGTTTCATGACTCATTACAATTACTGTACCTACTCCCTCTGCTAACCTCTCTGTATTCCACAAGCAATAACAGCCCTTTTTCCTTTTGAATGGCTTTATGCTTTTTACAAAATTAGGTATAGCTATGTCAACTAGTCTTTACTCAGTCAGTAATTACATAGTTAAGTTCTCATTGCTCCACAGGTTCAGTGCCCACTTTCCTTCTTAAGTGACAACTCTCACTTACATAATGAGATGTAAGCAAAGATAACTGCTCACTCAGGTATTTAACTTAGGCTGTATCTGCTTCTTTATTGTGCCCAATGGTTCATCTAATATCTCTCCAAACTATGTAGTTCAGCCAGTAAAAGATATGGTCAAACAAATCTTGCTTCTTGCACAACATAAGGCTCATGCACCAGAAGGGATACTTTTTAAATTACCTTTCACTTTGAGGGCCTCTATTTTGGGTGGCTAACATACAACATATAATTTAGAGGCTTAGCCTTAGGCTCCATGTTTGAAAGTATTGGCTAGTCTGTGAACACATGTAATTTTGAACATGGATAAGTGAATAGAGGGTGCTAGATGCTGGAGGGAAGTGCAGTAGGGAGGACATCTCTTCAGGTCCTTCTGTGTAGCCCAATTGGTGAAATATACTCTACTCCCAGTGCCTCACACAGTATAAACCACCTGCAGTTGAGTACAGCAGGAATTTCTATGGGCTAGGGTGTTTCTGTGTCCATTGCTGCATTCCCCTCAGCACTGGATACTAGTTATCAGAGCGTATATGATTCTGTGTGTATGTGGGTTTATATGGTCCCAGCTTTGGCAGCCATTCTTGGTCACATTATTGGCTAGTCTTGGTCACATATTGGCTAGTCTGTGAACACACGTAATGAAATGGTTGTTTCATAACCAAGCTGGCTGTGGAGCTCTGGCTTACATTTTTCAGATGTTGAAGACCCACAAGTCCAAAACTTAAAGATATTACAACAAGAAGTGGTTCTATACTGTAAATTTAAAAGCAAATATTTGAAGGAGGTCTTGTGACACTGGATGGTGGATGGCTGGACAGAGCCAGCCAGGTTTTGGCTAATCAGTTTTATTCTGTAGAAGGCAGAGAAACTGAGCAGAGACACGGCTATCTGAGCACAGCCTTAGTGTTTGCTGGGCCAACACAGATCCAGTGATTACACAGGTTCACATTTAACACAGTCAGTGCCCACCGCTTCTGCTGAGTGCTGTAGGGCTGCATTATGACAGCCAATGGAGTCAGCGCGGCTGTGATGTTCATGCCTTCCACCTACATTCACACGGAAACAGGTGAGCTGATCCTATCCTAGGCCTACAGCAAGCACGGTTCTCAGAGCCTGGAACGCCTGGGGAAGGGCAGAACAGCTGTGTGTAGATAAGAAGGCCTCTACAGGTGATCTGAGGGCTAGAACCTGCTCTCAGAAGCATCTGAATCTTCTGGTGCAGAATCATAAAGTAACACCAAAGTTGGGTTTGAAGGGACCTCAGGAGGTCACCTAGTTCAAACCCCTACTCCAGGGCAGGATCATCCCTATCTAATCCACCCTAGACAAGTGTTTTTGTAAGCCAAGGCTGTCAAACTTGTGGCCCATGGAGTCAAGCCATGTGGCCCACAGCACTCATAAAGGAATCAGAAATTAGAGGTGGGGCCAATGAGGGGCAGGGTCTGCCACCAAAAACTGGACACAGAGGCCTGCAAGTAACGTGTTAAGTGTCAGGAGGTGAGCAATGACTGCGTTAACCTCTGCAGCCACCACTACTCCCATATCCAGCCTGAGAGGAGCCCTGCATCTGGATCCAGCCAGGGAGGCAGGGTAAACTCGCACCCCTGGTTTAACTTACTATTAAAAATGCATGAGCAACCCCCACCTACAACTACCAGGCATAGTACCCAAAACCTTCAAGAAAATCCTAATTTGCCACAGGTAAAACAGGGGGTTGAGGACACAGTCAGTGTCCTGTCACTTCACCAACAGGAAATAGCTTGTTAAAATACACTTGAGAGATTCAAGGAAGTGGGCCATGCTCCCTGCTATACAGAAAGGCAAAACTCCCCACAGTCCATACCAACCTGATCATGGGGTAAAATCCCTTCCTGATCCCACATGCGGCAATCAGTCTTATCCTGAGCAGAGAAGCAAGACCTCTAACCAGGAACCTCCAGGGTTTCTTTAGGCTCCAGCAGGAGTGCTGGCACACCCCCGTCATAATCCCTAGCTCTGGCTGCAGTCAACACCTAATGCTTCTGAAGAAGATGAAAAAAACCCCAATGCCTAACAGGAAAGGAAAAAAACCCTTTCCCAGCCCTGTGTGGCAACCAGAAAAGTCCAGAAGCATGGGAAAAACCAAACACCCTCTATTCCATTAAGCAATCTGGGGATTGCCAACACAACTCCATGCGACTCACCCTCACTGGAAAGCCCAAACCCCCCTTTCTGTCATCCCATCCCTTCCATAAACTTGTCATAACCTTTTGTTTCATAACCAATCTGGCTGTGGAGCTCTGGGGAGCACTGTCCTTTCCAGTTTCTGATGTGTATGGGGAAGTCTCTTAGATTAACCACATCTTGTCATGCATCCATAGATGCATCACGAGCATGTCCAAGGAGGTGATCCTCCCCCTCTATGTGACACTGGTCAGGCCGCAGTTGGAGTACTGCATCCAGTTCTGGGCGCCGCACTCCAGGAGGGATGTGGACAGCATCAAGAGGGTCCAGAAGAGGGCCACTCACATGATCAGGGGGCAACAGGGCAGGCCCTATGAGGAGAGGCTCAGGGACCTGTTCAGCCTCCACAAAAGAAGACTGAGAGGGGATCTGGTGGCCACCTACAAAGTGGCGAAGGGAAACTAGCAGGCAATGGGAGACTCCCTGTTCCCCTGAGCACTACTGGGAGTTACAAGGAATAATGGTCATAAGCTGACTAAGACTAGGTTCAGGCTAGACATCAGGAGGCGCTACTTCACAGTCAGGGCGGCTAGGAGCTGGAACCAGCTTCCTAGGGAAGTGGTGCTCACCCCTACCCTGGGGATCTTCAAAAGGAGGCTAGACAATCACCTAGCCAGAGTTGTTTGACTCCAGCATCCTTTCCTGCCCATGGTAGGGGGACAGACTTGATGACCTGCTTAGGTCCCTTCCAACCCTACCAACTATGAAACTATTCTCAGATGTTGCTCTTTGCAGCACCCTCCAGGTATTGCTACTCTTGTATCACTCCTGACCAAAACTTACCCAACCTCTTTTTGAAAAATTCCTGTGATGGATATTCCACAGCTCCCCTAGGGAGTGAAGAAACCTACTTTGCTGCAATACCAAGACATTGCTATGCCGTACCCTATTCCCTGAAATGAGAGAAAAGCTGCTATCCATCTTCTTTGTGACAGCCGTTCAGACATTCAGAAGAGAAAGAGATTATGACAAGTAAACAAAGAATGAGGGATCCCCTGTTCTGTGTCCCCACACATCCCTCACCTGCATGGATGGCATCCTGCTGGTGCAGATGGAGGTGGGAGTGGATGTGCGAGTGTTGGTGATGATGGGGTGTCACATTGAGCATCTGCAGCCGGGCCAGAGGGTCGTTGCTCAGAGCAGCAACCCGCTCCGCATGCTGCCTTTCAGCTGCCAGTCGCTCAGCATATGACATGTCAGGACGCAGGGTTGGGCCAGCTGCTAGTGCCAGCCGTTCCCGCTCCAGGTGACCCAGCCCTGGGTGGAAGGGAAAAGTGGGATGCAGGCCAGGGGCTGCCTGGAGAGCCAGCCCCCCATGGCGTGGGAAGGGATCCATGGCAGCAGCAGGAACAGCATGGAGCTGATCCAGCTCAGCTGGCTTGACTTCGAACCCAGGCTTGAGGCGCTCACGCAGGTCTCGATCCCTCAGGTCTCGCTCACGGGCTTCTCGTTCCCGCAGCTCCCGCTCCCGTGTGGCTGGGTCACTGCTGTAGATAGCTGGCACATTATAGCCCAGTAGGCCTGGGTCAACTGCACCCAGCGGCACATAGAAGGGGTGATTGCGGTTGCTGGGGGACATGACATGGGGCCGGGCATATTCACTTAGGGTGCGCAAAGCTGGAGTGTCAGGACCCAGGTATGGTGGAACAGTAGCCACAGCACTGCCCTGCTCAAAGGATGGACGGTGAGGAACGGGCCCCAGAGACGAACATTCCACTGGACGCCCCTCCTGTGCCATCTTCTGCAAAAGAGCGGAGAGAAGCTTCTCAGTGTCAAAGCCCAGTCAGTTCTACCCCCAGCAGGAAGCACTCTGATCCTCCAACACTGGCTCCTGCACTGCCCCATTCTCTTCCTGGGGGAACATGGTGACACCTACCACACTTCGCTCCAGCTCTCTCTCCTTCTCTCGCTCTCTCTCCTTCTCCCTTTCACGTTCCCTCTCCCGTTCCTTCTCTTCCCGGGCCTTCTGCTCTGCCTCCCTGCGGACCTTCTCCACTAGGTCTGCTCGTTTCTTGGCCAGCTTGGAGCCATCCAGGGGCACAAAATACAGGTCTGTGCGAGAGCAAGAGTTGAAGCCACGGTCTAGGTGCTTGTTAAACCTGAGGAGAAGAACTGAAGCATGAGTGTCAGAACAAGAGAGATGGAGCAGCGGAGAAATGCAGACGGCTGAGTCCACCTAGGAAACATAATGTGTAAGGGACAGAGTGTGGTGGAAATCTGGAGCAGTGAGGGATGTAGAGGGCAGCTATGCACCACACACTTGGGAAAACAAAGTTACTTACCAGTCACTGGAGTTATTCAAGATGTCCAGCCCCCCCCCCACACACACACACAATTTCACTACAGATGACAGTGTTCCTCAGTGTCCCTCACCCTGACTTTTGAACAGACTTCTCTGTCTTAACAGTATCCACACTGTATATTCAAGTTGAAGCAAGGGAAGTTTAGGTTAGATATTAAGAAAAGCTTTCTCATTAGGAGGATAGTAAAGCACTGGAACAAGCTACCCAGAGACCTTACGGACTCTCCATCCATATAAGTTTTTAAGACCTGGCTAGACAAAGCCTGGGCTAGAATGATATAGCTGGGGATGGCTTTGCTTTGAGCAGGGGGCTGGATTAGATGACCTCCTGAGGTCCCTTCCAACCCTTATTTTCTATGATTCTATAATTTTAGCAGGCTGTTTCTCAGGCCCTAGGTGTGAACTAGATAGGCTGTTGCATGAAGATTTGCTGACATGTACTCTGTGGAGGCCCCTTCTATCAGCCAAACAGGGGAACAGTGTGATCCACTGCTTCTGGGGGTGTGCTGCTACCACTGAAAGCCTCTTGGCTAAAACCCCTCGTTGAAAGTCCAAATGGGAGTACCTGTGTTGGAAGTGATCCTGTGCTCCTACAAACCCCAGGGAGTGTGCTAGGGTCTTAAGAAAATGTGGAATTAGGTATCCCATGAGTTGTGGGATGCCAGCCAGTCTCCCTGGTGCAAGGAGAGGATGACAGGTGCTAGTGTCACCATCTTAAGTTGTAACCTACTGTAGCAGGGCACTGAGGTGCCTGCTACTTGTGGAGCGATCAGTAAGGAATCCAGTTGCGGGTTGCCAGGGTAACCAGTGGGAGTCAGCTAACCAGAAGGGGCAGGGCCTGACTCCCATATAACCCCAGGCCGAGGCCAGGCAGGGAGTTTCCCCACTGACAGTCAAGGGAAAAGGAGCTCTGCCAGAGCAAACAGCAAAGAGAAGCCTGACTGCACGAGCAGCTCCTGACTGATGTTACGGGGTGGAGAATTCCCTGGTAAAGACTGAATGTTGTTTAGCCGGACGGCATAGATTTTATGTTATAGCCCAGGGGCTTGTGTTTTTGTGTTCTCTGTTTAGACCAGAGGACTGGGTGAGGCTGTTAGGGGTTGGAGGAGGCCTCATAGGGGCTCCATGGTAGCATGGGGATCCCGGCACCAGAGAGGGCACAGCATTTGGGGTGCACTGAACCCAGTGCCAGACAGGGCGCATCATTTGGGGTGCTCTGACCCCAGTCCCAGAGAAGGTGCAGCATTTGGGTACACTGACCCCGGCGCCAGAGAGGGCGCATCATTTGGGGTGCGCTGACCCTAGCACCAGAGAGGGCGCAGCATTTTGGGGTACACTGACCCCGGCGCCAAAGAAGGGGCCAGGCATGGCTACAGCCACCTGAGCCCGAGGCTGAGAGAAGCCCCAGAGCAGAAGGGGTGACGACTGACAAGCCCAGAAGGGACGCAGCAGTAAGACAAAGCTACAGCAAGTCCGAGTGCCAGAGGGCGCAGAGAGAGCGAGACTGACCGAACAATGTCCAGTACATCAGCGAGGTTTGGGCTGCGGTGTAAGGGGAGGAAAGGAGCTGCAGATAGTGCCTCCTGGTATCGGGGCAGAAAATGGGCCGCCTCCTGCTTAATTAACATCCTCTAATTAAGCAAGCAACAACAAGGTGTGGCAGGAGAGAAGGCAGGCGGTTGGCCCATAACAGGTGGGCGGGGCCACTAGTGGACAGACCCCGAAGAGATGCACCTGTCACACCTACAGATGAACCGAATGAACTGCCAGGATGGGATGCCATCAACCCTTTCTCTTCAGGACAAGGAAATGTCCACTGTAAAACCCCTTTCCCTCAAGCATGCAGATATCTTTTTCTAATGCTTCCAATGCCAACAAGGATTCATGAGAAGAGCCCCTGAAGCAGAAGGGAGAAAGGAGGGTTTGCTGTAGGGAACATGTGGAATTATGTAGTGTCATCATGAGCTACTGTCCAGAACCCTAAGATCCAATGTTATCTGGGCCCAAATTAGATAAAAACAGGCCAAAAGGTTCTGCAAGGGAGGATCCCTTGATTCCATCATCAAACTTCCTGCCTGCTGAGTCACAGTGGAAGATGGTAAGAACAAAAAGTTGAGGATCTTTCCTTATGGAAGCATAATGCCTTCTTGCCTTGGCTCTGACCATCACAGTTGGTTAAAAGTTGCAGGAGTATAGCTGGTACTGATTGTTGTGCTGACGCATAGAAACATGCAGTCCAAAGGACACAGCCTGTGAATCCTTGTGGCAGACTAAGACTTGGTCAGTTTTAGATGAGAAGAGTACTGGCCCTTCAAAAAGGAGATCCTCCACAGCTGTTGGGACCTCTAGGGACCCCAAAACCCTGCAGCCCATACAACCTTCTCATGTGCTGGCCACAGAGTGAGAAGTCATATTTACTTTCTAATGCAGCCTAGGTACCATTTTACCAACCCACTGCTCCTCTGGTATCAGAGAGAAAAATGAAGTCCACACATTCTGTAGGAAGATCCTTGGCTACAGATGCAATATGCTCAAAGACAGGGCTAGTAGAATTTGTTATTTAGTTATTCTAAATTATACACTTGTAGAGGAGTGACTGTTTGTGGAAGAGTTCCAATGTCTGGGAGCGTTTTCTTTTTAGGAACTAACTTGTATAGGCCTGCCCTCTCTTTAGCCACCACTACAACTTGTGAAGATGACTCAGTGAGGGAACAGAAAAATTCTACCCCCGACAGAAGGACTCAATACTTTCTGTCCACCCTCTTTTCAGTAGGGAGCCCTGACACCAAAATTTGCCACACAAATTGGGCAAACTTTCCAGGACCAGTACAACCTGACAGCTCAGGATGGGGCAAGACATCAAACAAGGTATGAAAGGAAAGTTCAACTAGGTCGTCTGACAAAATACTGAGCTCCCTCACAACTGATCTCATCAACTGCCAGCATCCCCCACAAGAAACCATAAACCCAGTGAAGAAGGTGACCCACATGGGGCTGCATGCAGTGATGGAAAGGAGGGCGGACAGCAGCCCAGGTCCAGCTTTGAGGGCAATGAGGAGAATCAGGATAGCAGACAAACAGTCCAGTGCTTGGGGTCTTGAGTCATCCAAAGCTCCAAGGCCAACAGGGATATTCCAGAAAGGTATGGACCTATCCCTGCTATCATGGCCAGCTTTCTACAAGCTTCTTCTGAAGTCTTTGAGATGTGGGAAGTCTTGGGGCCTGGTTGGTGACTTAGTGATTCTCTAATGGAACATCTGCCAACCTGTGAGGTGCTCCTGCCTGGGGATCTACCTCTGGAATGAGGTCTCAAGCACAAAGATCAAACCAAGTTTGCTGATGCCAAGGAAGGAGGTTGGCATGAGGAAACACCACCAGACCATGTTCAGGGCTCGGCTGGAGCCTTGGTTTCTAAATCTGACTCTGGGATTGTAGCCTTTTCTAGGAGTACCATTTGGAGCTTCCATGCTCTCTGTCTACAAGATGTGGGACCTGTTTAAATGAAAATGACTGCCTGAGGTAGGAACCATCCCAATGCAGGAGAAATGGCTGTGAAACCCAGGAGAGTTTGGAGATGGCATCCCCATAAACAAAGGAGGAAACTCTTACTCCTGTAAAATGGTGACAACAAGCTCCACAGAAAGAAATAACAGGTGGTCACCAGAAAAGGAAAAATAAATAGGGGGTCCCCCAAATGGCTGTGCTGCATGGCACAGATAAGAACAGCAACAGTAAGGGAGGAGGTAAGGGTTGAGAGCACCAAACCTAATCTGGAAGTCGCAGCCTTTTCCTTTTACTCCCAAAAGGTTTTGAGGTAAAATAAGTAATAATAAAGAAGATAACAAGGCAATAAAAAACAATGATAACACTGAAAATGGAAGAAAGCAGCTGTGTGTGATCTCTGAGCAAAATGCAGGCTGCAGAGCAGACTGACGGAGAAGCGCACCCCTAAGCCAGGTGGTTGAGAGGAACTGAGGAGCAGGATGTGTGCACCACCCTGTAAACCTTTGGTGCAAGAAGGGAGTCAGGGCAGTGCTGGACTGCATGCCACAGATACTGCTGAATCTCCATTCAGAGCTCAGGGGCCTGAGACACACCTACAAGTGAGAAGGTGTATGTGCAAAACTCTGCCAAGGAGAACCCCCTCTTCCTTCACCCTTCTATCTGCCTCCATGGCCTGAATTCCACTTCCCAGGGTGAGATTTTTCACCTTTCTCCTGCCACAACTTGCTACTGTGGCAGCACCCAGGGGCAATTAAACAATCTACAAATGGCCAAGGAACATTTCCCTACCTGGTGCAGGCACTGCCACACCACCTACACATTGCAGCCATCAGTCAAGCCAGGGGAAAGGGCCATCAGGAAAGCGTGGCATGAAGGGACTGGACTGGCTGTACCCTGCTGCCTGCTTCTATTTTTGCTGTGGGCTACACTGGCCCAGCACAGACACTCATGCTCAGGAGAGGTCTCACTCTTTGACTTCAATGGGAGTGAGCCCTGGCATACAATTGTCCTTCCCACCTGTTTCCCCATCTTTTCCTATCATGTCCCACCCCCAGTCCCCACCCTCTACTCTGTCTCCCTCTTCCCTTCTCACCTGGCTGACTGGCTGGCATGACTTGGTATGTCCACCACTTTGGGGGCTGGTGAGGGACTCCGTGTGGGCGGCACTGGGCTCTCTGGGGGCTCATACTCCTCCGATGGCTCTTGCTTAATCTGTGCAGTGCTCAGTGGCAGTGGTGGCAGCGGGGCAGCAGGGACTCCGATGCCTCCAGGCAGTGGGGGAGCACTGGGGGTGGGGGAGGGAGTCTTGTAGTTGCTAGTTGCGGGAGAAGAGGTCACCCTGTACCCAGGCGGAGTGGCCACATGGAATGATGAAGCAGAGGATGAAGGGGGCGAGCCTGGCTTGTAGGCAGGTGGGGGCTGGAATGTAGGGACAGGTGAGGCTGCCCGCTTCCCATAGGGAGCCACGGCAGGTGGCGGTATGGGGGGTGATACTGTTTTATAGGGGGCTGAGGAAGAGGAGGCCATGGTGGCTATGACAGTGGAGAGAGTGGCAGACG